AGTCGCGCCGCTCTGGTACCAACCCCTTCGGTGAGTCGCTCTGGATCGAGGCCACGCGAGCGGATCCGCCGCGGGCCGGTACCGCAGTCTCGACGATGCTTCTCACCGCACCGGTTCCAGCATCGCGCGGCGGCGCGACATCGGCATCGGCAAGCAATCCGCCCGTGTCACCCGCGTCGCCTGTGTTGACTGCGCCGTCCACGTCGACCGCGACGGTCGCGTCCGCTGGACCGGGGGCCGCGCTGCCACCATCGGCACCGGTCTCGGCCTCGGCTCCGGAGGGCATCGGTAAGGTGCACCGCTGGTTCCAACTGAACCACACGAAGTCCGGCCGGCCGCTCCAATCCATACCCTCGGTGAAGGCCAACAGCTGCGCCGCGTACGTCGCGTCAAACGCCGTACCCTCGAGGATCTCCGCGATACTGACCGAGCGGATTAAATCGATGAGCCCCGCCGAGAGGCGGAAGAGCAGGCCGCGCTCACCGAAGGGTTCCTCGCGCCGCGCGATCAGCCGCGGGTCGCGACACTTCGTGAAGAACGGCAGTCCCTCGCGAGCGGCGTGTAAGAAGCACAGGAAGGCCAAGACCGCCCATTCGGAAAGCATGATCGCGTGCACCAAGACGCACGTTCGCTCCGTTTCCGCGGATTCCGATCGGCCGAGTGGCAACCAATGCGCCGCCACGTACGCCATGACGCTCGGCGTCGGTACGCACAGGTACTCCGGCGCCTCGAACGTCGACCAGTTCGTCGGGAGCGCGGGGTACAGGCCGCGCCGCGCGGCGCTGGGCACCGAGAAAAACTCGGTGCTGTGCCACATGTGGAAGAAATCGTCCACCCGGCGCCAGCGCAGCCGACTCTCGCGCGCTGCGTCCTCACCCCACCGCGCTCGGTTCGCAACGCTGTACCAGCTGTCGAAAGGCCGCGGAAAGGCCACCAAGCGGACGCCACCAAGCGGACGTCGGGCGCGATGCCCTCGTAGCGGCGATACCGACCGAAGAGGTTCAGCAGCGAGACGTGGTACTTTTCCTCGCCTTCGCAGCGGACATAGGGCAAGTCACTGCCCGCTGCGGCCGGCGTCCGACACGGAGCGTGACGCCATCGCGCCTTCCACGCGCCGGCGCGGTTCTCTTGCGCCACGGCACCGCGCCCGGACGGAGTCTTGATCGCGCGCACCATCGGAATGGCCGCGAACCTCGCCGCGTCCAGCAAGTTCCGCTGAACATATTCCTCGACCGTAATCGGAGGCTTGCGACCCGCGGCGCGTCGGCGTGCGCGCCGGCGGCAGTGGTCCATCGAGGACCCGGGCCACAGCGACCATACGGAGCCGACGCCGCTGCGCAGCCAGGTCGGGGTACTCGGGGCGGTGAATACCCGCCCCAGCGACGTTGTCGCCCCCCGTCCGGCCGGTGCAAGCGCTACGCTACTCGACGGCGCCGGCGCCGCGTACGGCGCCTCGGAAGCGGCCCTTGTGAGCGCCGTGCCCGCAGCGGGCAGCGGCGACATGGGAGGCGGCGGCAGCTCCACGGGGAGCCCCGGGTCCGCCTCGACCGTTCTTGGAGCCGCGCCCGCGAGGGGCAGCGGCGAGGACCGTGTTGCTTGGGCGCCCAGCGGTGGCGAACCAACCGGTACGGGCGAATCAACTGGCGCTTGGGCGGGCCCCGCCCCTCCAGTGGACGGTTGCAGGCCGTCGCGAAGGCGTCGCCGCGGTTGGAAGGTGGGACCGACCGGCGCCGCTGCCGGAGCCCGAGGCGGGCTCAACGGCTGACTGTACGCGCGCACAGCAGAAGTGTCGCGATGACCGTCCATGGGTTGGTTGAAGAGCCGCTGTAGGGAGATGTCGTCGTCGCTGTCGGAGGAGGTTTCTGAGTTCGCAGGGGAGTGTTGGGGAAGAATTGGGGGGTCAGTGTGGATCGCGTGGGGAGAATCGGAAGACGCGCTCTCCGAATCGGATGAACCCGCAGCGTTATATACCGCCAGCTCGCTGACGAGCCAGGGGGCATGATCGTCCGCACGTAGGGGGTTCTGTCCCCGCATCGTGCGCGATAGAAGGAAACGTCCGGAACGGACCCGCGCGGTCGAGTAGAGGGTCGCTACGGGGACGTAGCGAAAGCTAAGGGGAGAGGTCTGTAGTATAATGACCGGCGCGAGCGCGCGGAGGTCATCGGACGGCCGTGTACGGTATACACGTGGGCGGTTGTGCCCACGTGTAGCGAGCGCGCGCGCATGCCGAGCGGTCGTAATCTGGCGTACGTGTACAGTAGTGCACGTGTCGTCCGAGCGGTAGCCTACGCGTGTTACGTGTGCGCGTTAGCACACGTGTCGTCCGTGCGGTAGTCTGTAAGCAACACGCGTGTACAGTAGTGCACACGTGTAGTAGCAGCGTCCGTGCGGTAGTAGTAATTATGGCGCTACCTTTTTAATTGTGTACAGTACCCGGCACGCACTAGGCAGCAGGTACTGTACTACTGTACTGGGACAGGTGTACACCTGCCTCGGACGTCCGAGGCGTCCCTCTGCGGGATTAAGACCTGGCACCCGTCCCCACCAGTAAACGGGGGCAAGCTCGCCCCCGTCCCTTTTGCGCCTATATACGTCCGTTTCGGTTGTCTATCGCGCGCGCTGGCTTCTAACCCGTTACCGGTCGCTCCCGTTCACGCACCACGGGGACTGCGCGTAACCGACCAGTGAGCCACTCCCTTTTCGCGAGCTCGTCCGATCGGTTCAATTAGCGCGTCGCGTCCACGCCGCGTGCTCCCTCGCTAAAGCCTCCGCCTCTCACCCAACCCAGGGCGGAGAGGAGTTATCCCACAGTGGGGACGGGTGCCAGGTCTTAACTCCTCAGAGGGACGCCTCGGGCACCTGTCCCATTACAGTATACTGTACTGGGACAGGTACTAGGCGGCAGGTACTGTACAATAGTACAATACCTGCCGCCTAGTGCGTGCCGGGTACTGTACACAATTGAAAAGCTAGCTCCATAATTACTACTACCGCACGGACTCTGCTACTACACGTGTGCTCTACTGTACACGCGTGTTGCTTACAGACTACCACACGGACGACACGTGTGCTAACGCACACACGTAATACGCGTAGACTACCACACAGACGACACGTGTGCTACTGTACACGTGCGGCGCGCCACGCCACGACCGGTCGGTACACGCGCGCGCTCCCTACACGTGGGCACACCCCCCCACGTGTGCTCCGTGCACGGCCGCCTGGTTAATAACCTCCGCGCGCGCTCGCCAGTCGTTATACTACATGCCGAGGCAAGAAAAAGTCAGCAACTGACGTTTTTGCAGCATGCTTCTCTGCGTTCACCTTTGGGTCCTGGACTGCAATGTCCAAGGAGCGGATGAAGCTGATGGTTTCCGATCGGAAATCAGACAGGGCCTTCTTATACTCATCGGCCGTGGACTCAGACTAGCGGAGCGGAACGTCAACCTTCTTAAGCTTCTCGGATATTTTGAGAACTTCCTCGAGATGCACCTTGGATACCCTTTTCGTGCCGACGACTGCTGACTCCTCTTTTTCCGGGCTTCCGCATGCCAAATTAGTTACATCTTGGCATTGGTCAACGTCCCCTCCTCTATATTTGCGATATTGATGAGGGTAATCGCCAAAACTTCACGTATCTGCGACGAAGAGGAATTGTTGGCGAGGAGCGTGCTTGGCTGCTAAACCGCGAAACTTTGAGACGAAACTGGAGAGCTTCTCGTTCTTGTCTCGGCGACACGAGGTGACCTTCTGATATGATGCCATGAGCCTTGTCATCATGGAAATCGGTGGGTTTACTGCGACAAGCTCGACTATGGACAGTGCTGCTTGCACAGGTTCATCCCTCTGAAGATAGTCGACCTGTCCGTTGGACTGCGCTTCATCGCCAATCGCTTTCTGAGGTACAAGAAGGCCGCGCTCATAAAACGTGTGTCCGAGCAGCTTAATCATAATCTAAAAAGTGCGATCCGTGCCTTGATCGTCGGCGACTTTGAGTGAGTCGACCCACTGTCCCACCGTCTTGCGCCGGGCTTCCAGATCGCCATCGGCGGCGAAGAGAGGCGGGTCGAAGAATCCTGATAGTTTACTCATCTTTCCCCCTTGGCCCATACTTGTGGGAGAACGGGAACGATGAGGTTAGTAGTATCCGCGCTCGTCGCGCGCAGCGGCGGGGGAAAGAAGTCGCGAGAGTGAGGGGGACGGGGATACTTCGGACGGAGAGTCTCGCGACTTTTCGCAGGCGCTGTAAGGGGGTAGCAAGTTACCCCCGAGGGTCGGTCGGGATACCGCCCTCGGACTTTTATGTCGCCGGATTTCCCGCCGGGGCGTCGCGCGGATAATTTCCCTTTTTTCCAGATTTGGGGCTAAACAAATAAACTTCAATTTCTAGCTTCCCACAGGTACAGTATGTACAGTACAGTGCCTTTCGTCCCGGATCAATCCGAAAAACACAAAACGAAAATTCTTGGGTGCAATCGTGGGGTCCTGTTACAAATTGTAACTTACAATCGCGCTCATCGCAATGCCACTCCTTAAGAACGAACTGCGTGTCACGATTCCCTGTCGCAAGTCCGCAACCCAGACACACCCAACCCCTATTGCAATAGCCCTACTGCATCACAATAACTCCTCGATCGTGAACTGGCGACCATGATGAAGGTTATATCTGAAGTTATTCGGAAAGTCGAGTCGTGCAATCGTTCGCTTACGGTTAACAAGTATCAATGAAACGATTCGGCACGCATCGTCTGGTCAGACCTCAGTGAAGAAATTTACGGGTCTTTCAAACTGGACGGTATATGGCGTTGTCCGCTAATTCTACAGCTCGAAAACGATAAGCAGAAGCGTATCAGAATCAAGTCAGCAAGCAATATCTGAAGAGCTCGGTCTCGTACGCCAGTACTATTTCAACGCTCCCGACGAATAGCAATCCTTCAGGCACACGTAGCGGGGCTGCAAGGACTGCGGACCGAGCAGGAGACACACCCCAACAAGGGAAGATGGGACCCCTACCGCCCTCTCGTACATCCAAAAGGCGTTCCGGTTCCACTGACAGAACAAGAGCCCAGAATCTGAAAAAAGGACCACTCAAACCAGCAATTGCGTTGAAATCTCATCGGCGGGGTGGCTTAGGAACGAGGGCAACATTGGTCCGCGAGCAGTCGAAAAAGCTGTTAACAGCAAAGCAGACTGAGAAATTAGACGAGGAGGACAATCAAGCGCTACTTGCGCGAAACAATTCAACAGAGAATGACCAACGGGGAGAAGTAGATGGCACTGCGGCGGCTGAACCACGGCCGTCTGCACAACTGCCATGGTGGCGCTCAGTGGGTTCTAGGTTATCACGCCCGATGCGGCGTAGCAAAGACACCGACGTTCTTCGTGGCTACATCCTCACGTTAATACGGTCCTGCCTCCGGCCATCGTGGAATGCGGAGAAGCTCCGCGAAAGTTATGAATTAAATCCTTCTTCGATTCGAGGCAGTGCCTTCCTGGCTGTCAGCTCAAGCCTTTTAATTATGCACAGAGCTAGACACATGGGACAGTGCCGTACGATGTGGCACACACAACTGCTGCAAGAGCTACTTCAACGGCGTGAGCTAGAGTGGACCGCCATTGAAACGGATCCTTGCTTTCAGCACTTTCTTGGTTGCGAGGCATGCCTAGCACATCGTCCGGCGACGAGATGCCTAAGGTTGAAGGGTGTGAAATATGATTCGAGTGATTTCTGGCCCATGAGCTGCAGGCTTGATATCCTTGCATCCACTGAAGCCGATGGGGCATTGACTTTGGCGGTAGAGCTCGCGCCGGGCTCTAGGCCAGGCCAACCCACGATTGGTGATGAAGGAGAAGTCGAGTTCTGGGTCGACGAGCAGTGTCTGCGGAAATGCCTTGTATTTCATGAACTTGTCCACTCGACCTCCATTCTAACTGAAGAGGTTATGTGTCTGGTAGAAGATGAGCTACAGGACGGAGTTGTATCTGTTCGCAAGGCGCAGCAATTGCCTGAGGAAGGGACCAGTTTGGTAGATCTCGTGCAATGCCATTTAGTCGATGTACTTTGTCGAAACAAGCATTTCCTGGAAAAGCAAATACAGCACTTTGCAGATATGACACATATCGGAGAAGCGTATTTTTCTGCTGTAGATGAGGGCATTCCGGGATCCCATCAAGAGCCTAAGGATGCAGAAACGAACAGTAGCGCAAGAGTCTACGACGCGCCATTATCTCTTCGTCATGAACAGTACGCTGGGCGCATGAAAACTCTTGAATCATTAACAGAAATCAAAAAACCCTCGACTAGTTTCCCACCCAGGTCTTAACGAGTGTACAGGTTGGTCTACGGAATGATATCGCAGGTTTGTAAACTAAATTCACGATTTCCTTTACCGCCGGCCGGAAGATCTGACAACATTGCCTGTTGGCTTTCTCTTCACAGCGTTCAATCTTTGAAGACTAGACCCGTGATTCCCTTTTCGATTTCCCGCCGATCGCGAACGAGGATTCGCTCCCAACATGTTCATACCCAACGGAATATACGCATACGGATCCGGCCTACCTGCTCTCTTGACATCTCCAGATGCTTTCTTCGACTTGTACTCATCTCCATATGAACCCTTCTGCCTCTTGCTATTCTTGCTTTCGTTTTCAGGTTGGCGTCGTTTCCTCTTCGAAAATGATTGCTTCCGCTTCTCGTTGGCCTCGTCGTCAGAATCAGGCTCACCATCTTCATTCGCACTGCCGACTCCCACCTCTCCACTTTCGTCATCGCTCTCGACAAAAATTGGCCTGCCATCTCTGGTGTATTCAGTGGCATCCTCAGTCTTCGAGAAGCGTCTGTTCCTCTGCTCCGATCGTGCCTGTTGAGCAGTTTCCATGTAGCCACCACCTGTGAGGACAGCACTAGCATCCTTTTCGTCGAGTAAATTCAAAACTTTATCCTTACTTTCTTTTGTACGCAGGGTCTTGCGGCGATCCCCGCCTGCTCGGCTTCTCTGTGATGACCTCAAGTCATCCCCGTCAATTAATTCCCGTTCAATATCGGAGTCGGAATCCTCGATGCCGAAACTGTCGTGTTCAATCTCTGTGCTTCCTTCCTGAGCCTTCACTTCCTTCAAATTTCTGAATTCGCCAATCTGTCGCTTTCTATCTTTGGCAGCATGTTTCTTAATTACATCACGGCTATATTTTTTGCGGACTGCCGAAAGCAGCTTCAGATGGTCTTGCGGAAAGTTTTCTTCTAGAGCATCTCTTCCGCACTTTCGCAGCAGCCGTTCCAAGATCACACGCACCCTAAGTCTTGTTTCTTGCTTCTTAGAACGGGCCGCAACGTGAACAAGTCCTGGTAAGATGGCTGGCAACACACGAACTAGTCGATCTGCAGGCGTTGACAGGGTTTTAGTGGCGATTTTCACAACGCCCAGGGCTGCCTTCTGAACTTCAAACGAAGTATGGCGAAGCAAGATGGCTATCGGACCTGGAAGTACCCTCTCACTCTGGACTGCCTCGTCCTGGTCCACGGCTCCCCCTGACATGTCAACGTTTGCACCATTATTAACTGCTGACCCAAAGAGAGAATCAACATGATTGGCAAGCTTATCATCCGCAGATGCCTCCCCTCGAAACTCGTAAATCATGCGCCCCAAACTTGTAAGAGTTGCGGAAAGCATAGATACAGTCCTTCCTCCTAAGCCCGCGGAAACCGCCACCAGAAATTCGCGCAGACCAGTCATATCATTTCCAGTTCCAGCGCTATTCCACCCACGAGCCAGCGTAATGAGAGTCTCAAACGCGGAGGAGCGCGTCTTTTCGGATGTGTCCCTTGTAGCGAGCACAATCTCAGACAAAAACAGCTCAGTTAGAGTGGCCAGATATTCCTTCTTCTCGTCTCCAATTAAACGCACATGTTGATTAATGTATGCTACTAATAAGTGTTGCCGCACTGCTTTCGCTCCCGGTGCTACTCTTGAGCCTGCTTCTGCTACTCTCTTGGCGACTGAGAGTAACTCTTCCGATTCGGAAGACCCCGAGCCCGCACCAACCAACAATGCCATTGCCCGATAGGCTTTCTTTTGCATAGATGATTGCTTTGCATCAAGGAGGAACGGAGACATGGCCTTCTCAAGATAGTTCAACTCGGCGGCATCGTGCGGAACCTTACCACTTTCGATCACTGCTATCGCAATATCAGCCATGGCATAATGTCGTTGAATTCCATGGTCTTCATCATCTACCATTGCATCCGGGCTCTTGGGAGACGAACCAAGTTGAAGCTCCAACAAACGTCGGATACTCTTTCTGAGAAGCCCAGAGACAAGCCCCGAGTTCTTCGTGGCTTGGCAAGATGTCGTCACCGCTTCAAGGAGATTTCTTCGTCTGTCCTGGGAGGTAGTTTCGGCTGCACCGAGAATCGCCGGAAAGAGCTTCTTCAGACGACTTCCGAAAGACTCCCTCTTCTCTGTGGTCATGGGATCCTCACTGCTCAGTCCCTGAAGAGACAACGCAAGTTGCCGCAACGCTGCAACTGCAACTTGTTGTATGGACATCTCGTCCTTTGTGGACAAACAAAGATGAATTGACTTGAAAGCAGAGGTCATCACTCCGTCATGACCAAGATCCGTCGGCTTGTTGCAGAATCCTGGGAGCAGCGCCCACAACTGAGATACGTAAATGCTCAGGTTTTTCATTTCTATTACTCTGCCTTCCTTGCCTCTGGCAACGATTTTCTCCTTCAATTGGTCAATCACTGGAATGAAGGAATTTGAGAAGAGACTTAAAGGCGCACCGCAGATATTGTCTCGCAAAATTGGTAAGACCCAGGCGTTAGTAATATGCAACTTCTCGTCGTACTGAATCGCGCAGGTATTCAGAACCTGTTCAACACCACCGCCGCGAACAATAGCAGACAAGACTCCATTTGCAACGTCTTGTGACTTCCTGTCGTTGGAGTCCAGAGCCTTCTCGCGCATCAGGACCAAGACCCCTGTCAATCGTGTAACCTCTTTGTGCATGCTTGCGGCTCTTGCCGCCATATCCTTCTCCAGGTATGCCTTCAAAATCGGAATCACGTCCGACCAACGCAAGCGATATGCAGATCCGACGAAATTGTGCAGCAGTTTCAGCACTTCTGGACGACTCTTGAACCAACGCTGGTTTAGCAAGTTCCGCAGGTTTGAAGCTGCGTTCTTAGTTATATCGTTCTGCCCGCCAACAGGACTGATACAATCACAAATAATCCTGATGGGTGTAATAACCAACTCCTTTGGCGGCGAAGCGAATGGAAAGTATGAAGCATAAGCTATCGCCGCATCAGCGACACATGAATTGTAGCTTACACGAATATCCTGTGCGCAGTCCCTCTGTGGTGAGTGATCCAGTAATGCCTTGAGAAGTTTACCAACATCCGCCTGCAGCAACACAGTGCTTCCGATAGACCCATCGGACGAGTCGTTTTCCTGCTTGTGACTAAACATCGCGCTGAGAGCCATGTAAGCAAAGGGAGTAACGTTCGCCAACTCTTTCGCTGCAATAAGCATGAGTTCTTTCGTTACTTTGGCCGCGTCCGGTGGCAGCAGAAACATTCCAAACCTCTCAACAGTAGTGAGGAGATAAATGAGTGCTGCTGGACTCGTGGGGCGCTCAATGACGGTATCTCCATTAATCGCCTCATTCAACGCGCTAGTTTGCAACCTGAGCTCCATCGCAAAGTGCGCAGCGGCGGTGCCGGATGTCTTTTTTGTGATGATACTCGCCCGCGGGGACATGAGCAAAGCAGAAAGCGAATCGCGGGCCTTCCTTCTCGCACGGGAGTCCGCATCTGCCGTCTGCCGCAACAAGTACAAGTAAGACCTCTGGACAAGCGGCTTTGACCACGAAACAGAATCCAACACCGCAAGCACAGCTGCGAAAACAGGGCTGAGATGACGACAGACGCCACTATTCCCAAACACATGGTCATACGCGTTCATGAGCGCTTCTAGCACGACCTCGCACTTGCCGTTGAGCACCGCCTGGCTTGTTCCACGCACCGCCATGCCGATGAGCGAAACAATGCTTGCGACAAGTTCGACGTCACTACGATCATCATCCATAGCCACCGTCTCCCCTGTCCCCGATGACGCCAAAGCCTCAGCCGCGGGCATATCTTTCACGGCATCTTCCGCTTCTCGCGCGCGACGTCTCATCTTCTTCCTCTCCTTCTTTGACAACGGCTTCTCTAATCCCGCCTCCTCTGGCGGCTTGACTAACCTTGTCGTCGCAACGAGTCGCTGTAGCGAGACCACTAGTGCGGCGAGATACACTGCGGCGACGGCCTCACCAGTTGGGCCAGCGGCTTCTGAGGGTAGAGTGGAGGCCACGGCTTCGAGCGTGGCACGCTGGCGTCTGTCAAAAGGCTGAGAAGACTGCCGACGGCGCCAGACTTCGGCGAAACAGGGTGGGAGAGAGGCTGGCATGGGCATGGAGGGGGGTTTCGCAGCTCGTCGGGGTGGGCGGCGAGCGGACGGGAGCGCTTCGCGCATAGTGCGCACGTCCATGGTGGTGTGGTTGTTCGGAGCGACCATGGCGGAGGCGGAGGTGTGCCGAGTAACCAACTTGGAGAAATTGGGGTTGCCAAGGACGAGGACAGGGAAAGAAGGGGATGATCTACGCCACCGCCGTCGGCCTCTGCAGAGAGGGTGGTATGACAATGCTGATTGGGAGCAGGACGCGTGTTGGACGGTTTATGGATAGGAATTTGACGTGTTCGACAGTGGTTGGCTGCCGCCCTTGATCCAAAAACTGAGCCTCAAGATTCGAACGGCATTCATTCCACCCGTCGATCATCGCTCGCAACGAAAGCGGAATCGCCCCGCTTTCTGAGGGCCATTCCATTCATCGTGATTGGCAATCACGCAATCACGCAATCACGTCAATAAATGGTGCTCCCTTGTGGTTGGTTATTTATATTACGTTTCCTAAAAAATGGTCATGCTCATTAAAGAAATAAGCAATCGACCTTAAAATTAATCTTGTGCTCCAACTTCACATGCACATGCAAAGCCGTGGAAATATGCTTACAGCTACAAGTAGCACACGTTGGAGAAAGGAACGATGCAGAACGACGTTAAATTAATGTCGTGATCGCGTGATTGCGTGATTGCATGATTGCCAATCACGATGAATGGAATGGCCCTGAGGGCCATTTCCGAACGCCCCAGTACGGTGTCGTCGCGCCTACCTCTGTGTGACGTGTCCCCCGGCCAAGTGTAAGTAAATTGTGAAGTTAATGAAATAGTTGTAGTTACTTGTTAAAATAGTTATCCGGAGAGTATAAAAGCCGTGGCTGTGCTGTCTCCGAAGAGAAGAGGAAACCAGTTCATCCAAAAACAGCCACACCCCCTTTTAGACCAAATGAAAGGGACGACATGGTACTCTTGTGGAGGGCCGACGCCAGCAGTTAGACAGGTCCGACCTTACCGATGTTCGATAATAAGACTGAGGTCGACGTTTCAAAGTTCTTCTCTGTATATGAAAGCATCGTGATGGACGTAAAATCGGACCAGGGAAAAGAATAAGCTATGCTACCGGCAAGGAGAAGCATTTGATTACAACTATGAAACCTACAGACAAAACAGTGGACTGAACGAGGCGTCCAGTGACTCATGTAGCACAATTGCGTGGCACGACCACCCAGGGAAGATGTTAGCCCAACCGGGGGACGGTACTACTGTAGCTAACGGGCGTACACGCGTCTACTTCGGAGTACAGTAGTATCCCACGGATCTCACAAGGGACATCCGGCAGAAGCAGTCGTGGCCACCAGCACACGTGTTTAATCCGTACGGTTGGTTAGTTATTAATTCATAGTAAATGGCACAAATTAAGTACTTTTGTACAGTAGCTGGCATACAGTAATTAACAGTCACTGTAGCGGGACAAGTGTCCTGGCGTCCACTTAGGGGTTAAGACCGGGCACCAAGCCCGCCCAGGAAAAGAGGCCGACTCACCTCCCTTCTATTTACGGTTATGCGCTACATTCGTTCCGGATTTCCCTTTTGGCTTCCGGTTTTAACCCGTGACCGGCCGTCCGGTTTTAGCACCGACGACCGGCGGAGCATAACCCGCCACGTTTTTCCTCCTTCTTTACGAGTCCTTCCGTACGGTAATTAACTCCCGCGGTTATCTAACCAGCGAGCTCTCCCTTACCTTAAATCCCCCACTCTGTGTGGTCGGCGTGAGGGTATAGTTATATTACAACTATTAGGCCGTCTGGAAGGCCTAGTTCGACCTTTTAGAGTATTCCCCGAATTGAAAGAAAATATCCGGCTTGCAGTCACAACTGGGTTGACGGAAACGATTTTCTCACATCGTTAATCGTAATGGATCGCTGCTTCGACTTGTAGCGCTCAACACCAAATCCAAGTTCGGATTGCTTCGAAACGCGATCATGGAGCACACAGGCGTGTGTATTATAACGACCGACGCGCGCGGAGGTTATGAACCTCGCGGCCGTCACTGTGTACACGTGGGCGGGCGTTCCCACGTGTAGAGAGCGCGCGCGTGTACCCATCGGTCGTGGTATGGCGTACGTGTACATTAGCATACGTGTCGTCCGTGCGGTAGTCAACGGGTATTACGCGTGTACAGTAGCACACGTGTGGTCCGTGCGTTAGTTTGTAGCTATTACGCGTGTACGGCATCGCACACGTGTAGTGGCAGCATCCACGCGGTAGTTAGTAGCCAACCACTAGGCGGCAGGTACTGTACTGGGACAGGTGTCTAAGGCGTCCCTCGGGAGGGTTAAGACCTGACACCCGTCCCCACCAGTAAACTGGGTGTAGCATAACCCCCCCTGGGGGACTTACTTTAGAATTAGATCACGATTGAGTTAGTTACTGTAGAGCCGGACGCTCTACAGTACCACCGCGCGTGTCCACGTGTGCCCCACGGCACACGTACACACGTGTACCAGGCGCGTACGAAGCGCGCGCATACACGGGTCCACGTGTACTGTCAGCACCGATGTTAACACCGTACAGTGCAGGCCGACCTGCACTGCAGTAGACCACTACACTACCTCCGTACTGTAGTGTTATTATAGAGGTTTGTATATTAAACATGAGCGGACCGACGGCGGAGGGGAGAGGACAAGCACGGGCTTGTCCAGAACCTACCACCTAAGTTCCGCCGGCTTATTCTGGACTACGCGAGCGACGTTCGCGTCTGCCTAGTACGGAGCCCCGCGGGTAGTGGTCGCGCGTGACGAGCAGGATCAGCCTCCGCCCGTCGGTACTGGATCGTTACCCAGTACCGCGCCGGGGCGTCGAGGCGTCGATCCGCCCATACGCACGCGCGACCACCTCCGATGCCGCTCTACCCCGCTACCCGGGCTCGTCCGGTTCCGATAGCTGGTGGTGCTTCGTTTCCCCGTCTTCCGCCGATCCGGGGTCTCCGTCGAGCTGTGAGCAAACACCCTTCTCGGTGAGGGTGTTTATGCTACACTGGGGCAAGCTCGCCCCCGTCTCTTTCGCGCCTAATCTACGACCGCCCGGTACTTTATTCGCGCTCTGGCTTCTAACCGGCTACGGGTCGCCTACGTATACGCATCACGGAGCGACTGCGCGTAACTGGCCAATGAGACACTCCCTTTTCGCGAGTTCGTCCGTATCGGTTTAATTAGCGCGCCGCGCGTCCGCGTCCCGTGCTCCCTCGGCGAAGCCTCCGGCTCTCACTTAACCCAGGGACGAGAGGAGTTATTCCACAACGTGTCTCAGATCGCCTGACACAGGTCACTTGCTTTGTATGTGGGGGCTCAAGAAAGCCGTTAAAGACTTCGTGAACGTTCGCAAAGACTTTTTGGCTGCACACAATGCTAAGCCGTCTCTGCCTAAACGAATGCTGTAGAGGCCATAAAGCCGGCCGCAACCGTACATGATTGATAAGAAAGTGGAAGTTTTGGCTGAACAACTACCGGAACTGTAGTGGAGTG